GGAGCTTCTCTGTTGTCTGTAGTCAGGACAGCGGTGGATTTTTCAATGAGCAGCGAGCCTTTATTTGTTATATAAAGCAAAATAACGTTGTTGTAGGGCTTCAACAAAACATGTTCTGGGTTCACCACAGACTTGAGAGGCTGCAGTGTTTGCAGAGTTCCGTCATTTACTCCAGGAGCTGCGTACGGAGGAGTTTCGCTTTCAGCGGTACTTCCGCATGTCACTCGCCCAGTCTGAGTTCTCAAACCCCGGAGCTCGCCTCTCCCTGCCTCTCGCTCGCCTCTCCCCGGCTCTCGCTCGCCTCTCCCTGCCTCTCCCTGCCTCTCCCCGGCTCTCGCTCGCCTCTCCCTGCCTCTCCCTGCCTCTCCCTGCCTCTCCTCGGCTCTCGCTCGCCTCTCCCTGCCTCTCCCTGCCTCTCCCCGGCTCTCGCTCGCCTCTCCCTGCCTCTCCTTGGCTCTCGCTCGCCTCTCCCTGCCTCTCCCCGGCTCTCGCTCGCCTCTCCCTGCCTCTCCCCGGCTCTCGCTCGCCTCTCCCTGCCTCTCCTCGGCTCTCGCTCGCCTCTCCCTGCCTCTCCCCGGCTCTCGCTCGCCTCTCCCTGCCTCTCCTCGGCTCTCGCCCGCCTCTCCCTGCCTCTCCCCGGCTCTCGCCCGCCTCTCCCTGCCTCTCCTCGGCTCTCGCTCGCCTCTCCCTGCCTCTCCTCGGCTCTCGCCCGCCTCTCCCTCGCCTCTCCCTGCTCTCGCTCGCCTCTCCCTGGCTCTCGCTCGCCTCTCCCTGCCTCTCCTCGGCTCTCGCTCGCCTCTCCCTGCCTCTCCTCGGCTCTCGCTCGCCTCTCCCCGGCTCTCGCTCGCCTCTCCCTGCCTCTCCCCGGCTCTCGCTCGCCTCTCCCCGGCTCTCGCTCGCCTCTCCCTGCCTCTCGCTCGCCTCTCCCTGCCTCTCCCCGGCTCTCGCTCACCTCTCCCCGGCTGTCGCTCGCCTCTCCCTGCCTCTCCCCGGCTCTCGCTCACCTCTCCCCGGCTGTCGCTCGCCTCTCCCTGCCTCTCCCCGGCTCTCGCTCGCCTCTCCCTGCCTCTCGCTCGCCTCTCCCTGCCTCTCCCCGGCTCTCGCTCGCCTCTCCCTGCCTCTCCCCGGCTCTCGCTCGCCTCTCCCTGCCTCTCCCTGCCTCTCGCTCGCCTCTCCCTGCCTCTCCCCGGCTCTCGCTCGCCTCTCCCTGCCTCTGCTCGGCTCTCGCTCGCCTCTCCCTGCCTCTCCTCGGCTCTCGCTCGCCTCTCCCTGCCTCTCCCCGGCTCTCGCTCGCCTCTCCCTGCCTCTCCTTGGCTCTTGCTCGCCTCTCCCTGCCTCTCCCCGGCTCTCGCTCGCCTCTCCCTGCCTCTGCTCGGCTCTCGCTCGCCTCTCCCTGCCTCTCCTCGGCTCTCGCTCGCCTCTCCCTGCCTCTCCCCGGCTCTCGCTCGCCTCTCCCTGCCTCTCCCCGGCTCTCGCTCGCCTCTCCCTGCCTCTCCTCGGCTCTCGCTCGCCTCTCCCTGCCTCTCGCTCGCCTCTCCCTGCCTCTCCTCGGCTCTCGCTCGCCTCTCCCTGCCTCTCCCCGGCTCTCGCTCGCCTCTCCCTGGCTCTCGCTCGCCTCTCCCTGCCTCTCCTCGGCTCTCGCTCGCCTCTCCCTGCCTCTCCTCGGCTCTCGCTCGCCTCTCCTCGGCTCTCGCTCGCCTCTCCCGGCTCTCGCTCGCCTCTCCCTGCCTCTCCCCGGCTCTCGCTCGCCTCTCCCTGCCTCTCGCTCGCCTCTCCCTGCCTCTCCCCGGCTCTCGCTCACCTCTCCCCGGCTGTCGCTCGCCTCTCCCTGCCTCTCCCCGGCTCTCGCTCACCTCTCCCCGGCTGTCGCTCGCCTCTCCCTGCCTCTCCCCGGCTCTCGCTCGCCTCTCCCTGCCTCTCGCTCGCCTCTCCCTGCCTCTCCCCGGCTCTCGCTCGCCTCTCCCTGCCTCTCCCCGGCTCTCGCTCGCCTCTCCCTGCCTCTCCCTGCCTCTCCCTGCCTCTCCCCGGCTCTCGCTCGCCTCTCCCTGCCTCTCCCCGGCTCTCGCTCGCCTCTCCCTGCCTCTCCCTGCCTCTCGCTCGCCTCTCCCTGCCTCTCCCCGGCTCTCGCTCGCCTCTCCCTGCCTCTGCTCGGCTCTCGCTCGCCTCTCCCTGCCTCTCCTCGGCTCTCGCTCGCCTCTCCCTGCCTCTCCCCGGCTCTCGCTCGCCTCTCCCTGCCTCTCCTTGGCTCTCGCTCGCCTCTCCCTGCCTCTCCCCGGCTCTCGCTCGCCTCTCCCTGCCTCTCCTCGGCTCTCGCTCGCCTCTCCCTGCCTCTCCTCGGCTCTCGCTCGCCTCTCCCTGCCTCTCCCCGGCTCTCGCTCGCCTCTCCCCGGCTCTCGCTCGCCTCTCCCTGCCTCTCCCCGGCTCTCGCTCGCCTCTCCCTGCCTCTCCCCGGCTCTCGCTCGCCTCTCCCTGCCTCTCCCGGCTCTCGCTCGCCTCTCCCTGCCTCTCCCCGGCTCTCGCTCGCCTCTCCCTGCCTCTCCTCGGCTCTCGCTCGCCTCTCCCTGCCTCTCCCCGGCTCTCGCTCGCCTCTCCCTGCCTCTGCTCGGCTCTCGCTCGCCTCTCCCTGCCTCTCCTCGGCTCTCGCTCGCCTCTCCCCGGCTCTCGCTCGCCTCTCCCCGGCTCTCGCTCGCCTCTCCCTGCCTCTCCCCGGCTCTCGCTCGCCTCTCCCTGCCTCTCCCCGGCTCTCGCTCGCCTCTCCCTGCCTCTCCCCGGCTCTCGCTCGCCTCCCCCTGCCTCTCCCCGGCTCTCGCTCGCCTCTCCCCGCCTCTCCCTGGCTCTCGCCCGCCCGGAGCTGCCTTGCTCTGAGCCAGACCCATCGTCAGCCTGTTCTTATATTAAATAAACTAGGTTTACTACACAGCATGTGTACAATGATTTTTGTTACTCAGAACGTTACTACTCATACAAATAATATTACTAATAACAATAATGACAATAAAACAGCAGCAGCATGACTTCTCTTCATGACAGAGACAGACCCTCTGCTGCTGCTGCTCCTCGTCTCCTGATTGGTTGAAGCCCGCGTCAAAGCTTCAAAAGCTCAGCTTTGCTCAGCTTCAGCGTCAAAGGGATTGTTGTGATACGCGAGCGTTTCGCGCGTCAAGTGACGCCGGGGCTCTCGGCTTCACCTGACGCGCTTCACCATTCACTTTCAATGGAAACCTGACGCTTTTGACGCCGAAGTTAAGTCCGGTGTGAACGCCCCTTTAGTGTTTGCTTTACTCCTGTCACTCGTTTACTTAAAAAAAAAACTGTCATACGCCAACATCCACTGACCGCTAGCTTCCTAACCGCTAGCTACCAACTTTGGGAGATCACCATGGCAACATGAATACCACATGCTAATGTGATGGTGATGCTAATGTGTATTAAAAATAGAACAAAGTGAGAATCGGTTAATTTTCAAATTGTGACAAGAGGAGTTGGCCCCGCCCACACTCACCTCCACAGCCTCCTGATTGGTCGAATTTAATTTAAATCCTAGAAGGCCTTTGTCATTGGTTTGATTGTAAAGTACTTTTCCCCAGACCACGGTGTCGTCAGAGGTCTCTCTCGCTTTCTCTCTCTCTCTCTCTCTCTCTCTCTCTCTCGCTCTCGCTCTAATCACAAACACATCGTCATCATCAAGTTTAATTCAATTTATCCAGCTGATAATAATAGTCTCATTATTTACAGTGAGGGAGAAGAGACCAGAGAGAGAGACCAGAGGGAGAGACCAGAGAGAGCGACCAGAGAGAGCGACCAGAGAGAGCGACCAGAGAGAGAGACCAGAGAGAGCGACCAGAGAGAGCGACCAGAGAGAGAGACCAGAGAGAGAGACCAGAGAGAGAGACCAGAGAGAGAGACCAGAGAGAGAGACCAGAGAGAGAGACCAGAGAGAGAGACCAGAGAGAGAGACCAGAGAGAGAGACCAGAGAGAGAGACCAGAGAGAGAGACCAGAGAGAGAGACCAGAGAGAGAGACCAGAGAGAGAGACCAGAGAGAGAGACCAGAGAGAGAGACCAGAGAGAGCGACCAGAGAGAGCGACCAGAGAGAGACCAGAGAGAGAGACCAGAGAGAGAGACCAGAGAGAGAGACCAGAGAGAGAGACCAGAGAGAGAGACCAGAGAGAGAGACCAGAGAGAGAGACCAGAGAGAGAGACCAGAGAGAGAGACCAGAGAGAGAGACCAGAGAGAGAGACCAGAGAGAGAGACCAGAGAGAGCGACCAGAGAGAGCGACCAGAGAGAGCGACCAGAGAGAGCGACCAGGGAGAGAGACCAGGGAGAGAGACCAGGGAGAGAGACCAGAGAGAGAGACCAGAGAGAGAGACCAGAGAGAGAGACCAGAGAGAGAGACCAGAGAGAGAGACCAGAGAGAGAGACCAGGGAGAGAGACCAGGGAGAGAGACCAGGGAGAGAGACTAGGGAGAGAGACTAGGGAGAGAGACTAGGGAGAGAGACTAGGGAGAGAGAGCAGGGAGAGAGACCAGGGAGAGAGACCAGAAAGAGAGAAATATAATTTTATAGTAATAAATATAAATTTCACACAACACTTGCACTTTGAACATTTTGAAACAACAACAAATGAAGTGTGGAGAAATTCCAGTGTTGCATCGCAAGTTGCGTTACAGTTGGAATGAGGAGCACACAACACAACATAATAGTAACACAACAATACTTTACAACAGGATTAAAACAGGATCAAAACAAACACAAAAGTACAAATCCTTCGTGTTTTACAGTGCAGTCGTATGCAAATTAGGTATTCAGAAGGCAGCCCTCTGATTGGACCGCGTGACCAAATACGATTACAGATACATTTTAAAGTAGGTACTCACTATTGTGCAGAGGGTAACCTTCTGAAAGTATTCTTCCTGTGTAGATTACAAAGTACTTCAAAGTACTTCAACATTACTGCAGTTATTAGTGATTTACTTTCACACAAAAATGCGACGCGATTTAACTACGTTTCATTTCCACAGCGTTGATGATTAGTGAGCGCACGGAGTCAAAGGAAAACATGAAAGAACCGGGGACCCGCAGAGACACAAAGTAGCGAAGTGTGTAACGGGTGACGTCACGTGTTCGGGGCACAGCCAGCTCTCCAGCGAATGGGAGCGCGCCGGAGAAAGAGGGAAAAAAGAAGCAGCCAGAGAGACCCGGAGAGACCCAGAGGAGCCCGGAGAGAGGAGCCAGAGGAGCCCGGAGAGAGGAGCCAGAGAGAGGGGACCATCGCACGCACGCACCCGGAGCCATGAGCCTAGGCGCGCGGGGGCAGCCATGCGTGGGGTCGTAGGGAGCGGAGATGACTGCGCGGTGCTGACTGGGACCAGGCTTTCTCTTCTCGGGCGCAGAGCTTTGGAACATGGCCGAAGGTTATTGGATTTTTTCTGCAATTATTTTTATTTATTTATTTTGCGGTGGGAGTTTTGCACGTTTGTCCCAGATTTGCGTCAATTGGAGCTTACGCAAGGTGCAGGGCGCGAGGAGGGACGCACACATCGATCACGCTTTGTGGCTCTCATGGCAGCGTGCACCTTGTTGGTTCCTCACGCTCTCACTCACGCACACTCACGCACTCGCTCACGTCCGCGGATCCGATGCCTCTGACCCCCGGGTTCCAGCGAATCCGGGGAGGGGAGAGAAGCGGTCATTTCGGACGAAAACATCTGTCCGCGAATGGCAAACAACTTTTTTTTTCCTTTTTTTTGGGGAGGGGGAAAGAAGAGGAAGAGGGGGGAGGGAGGAGGGTGTAGGGGTCAATAATTCACGCGTGCATCTCCGTGTAGTAGTAGTAGTAGCTGTAGTAGTATTAGTAATAGTGGCTATAGTATTAGTAGTGGTTGGAGTAGTAGTAGTAGTAGTACTAGCACCAGTAGCAGTTGTGTAATAGTGGCAGTAGTAGAAGTAGTAGTTGTAGCAGTTGTAGAGGTAGCAGTAGTAGTAGTATATAGTAGTAGTAGGAGCAAATATAATGAATATTTAGTATTGTCTATAAGTGTCTCAGTAATACCAGTTTCTTTCAGACATGGATTTGCTTAAAACAATGTCGCCATCTTTAAAATCAGTTAATAAACTTTAAAATCACACCTCGTTTTTGCTAATATTGATATTTTCTGCTCTAAATGTCCTGATGTTATGTTTTCACGTAAAAATCGTTACAATTTTGATGAAAATATTATGTCGACACATATATATGTGTGGACAACTGAACACATGAGAGTCTGAGGGCCAAACAAGGAGAGGGGGTTTCTCTCATGTGCTGCCTGTTTACTCTCACACTATGCACTGTAACGGACGGTTAGCTTTATCTAAAGTCAGAAGAAAACTTTTGTGTTTCATGTGCACTGCGGAGATTAGGTCAGAGGACTACTGCGGTCTCTCTCTGGTCTCTCTCTGGTCTCTCTCTGGTCTCTCTGGGCTCTCTCTGGTCTCTCTCTCTGGTCTCTGGGCTCTCTCTGGTCTCTCTCTCTGGTCTCTCTCTGGTCTCTCTCTCTGGGCTCTCTCTGGGCTCTCTCTGTTGTCTCTCTCTCTGGTCTCTCTGGTCTCTCTCTCTGGTCTCTTTCTGGTCTCTCTCTGGTCTCTCACTGGGCTCTCTCTGGTCTCTTTCTGGTCTCTCTCTGGTCTCTCTCTGCTCTCTCTGGTCTCTCACTGGGCTCTCTCTGGTCTCTCTCTGGTCTCTCTCTCTGGTCTCTCTCTCTGGGCTCTCTCTGGTCTCTCTCTGGTCTCTCTCTCTGGTCTCTCTCTGGTCTCTCTCTCTGGTCTCTCTCTGGTCTCTCTCTGGTCTCTCTCTGGTCTCTCTCTCTGGTCTCTCTCTCTGGTCTCTCTCTGGTCTCTCTCTGGTCTCTCTCTCTGGGCTCTCTCTGGTCTCTCTCTCTGGGCTCTCTCTGGTCTCTCTCTCTGGTCTCTCTCCTGGGCTCTCTCTGGTCTCTCTCTGGTCTCTCTCTCTGGTCTCTCTGGTCTCTCTCTCTCTGGGCTCTCTCTGGTCTCTCTCTCTGGTCTCTCTCTGGTCTCTCTCTGGTCTCTCTCTCTGGTCTCTCTCTGGTCTCTCTCTGGTCTCTCTCTGGTCTCTCTCTGGTCTCTCTCTCTGGTCTCTCTCTGGGCTCTCTCTGGTCTCTCTCTCTGGTCTCTCTCTGGTCTCTCTCTCTGGTCTCTCTCTGGGCTCTCTCTGGTCTCTCTCTCTGGTCTCTCTCTGGTCTCTCTCTCTGGTCTCTCTCTGGTCTCTCTCTCTGGTCTCTCTCTGGTCTCTCTCTCTGGTCTCTCTCTGGGCTCTCTCTGGTCTCTCTCTCTGGTCTCTCTCTGGTCTCTCTCTCTGGTCTCTCTCTGGTCTCTCTCTCTGGTCTCTCTCTGGTCTCTCTCTGGTCTCTCTCTCTGGTCTCTCTCTCTGGTCTCCCACAGAATCCTCCTTTTATAAAAAAAGATTTTGACCTCAGCTGAGTTTCAGTTTACACTGAGTTCGATGGGACATGTTTCTGGGTAACGTGACTTTAGTCTGCAGGACCACAGGTGGCCCCTGGGCCCAAGGGTGGGACAGCAGTAAGCTAGTAATACACTATCCAGATATTATTATAGATCCGTGTCTACACCCAACACGTTTTCTTACAGTCGGCAAAATGAATGAATATATCTGAGAATAGTCTCTCTCTGTGGTGTCTGTATTATCGCTGAGTCTCTCTCTCCCTGAGTCTCTCTCTCCCTGAGTCTCTCTCTCCCTGAGTTTCTCTCTTTCTGAGTCTCTCTCTCCCTGAGTCTCTCTCTCTCTGTGGTGTCTGTATTATCCCTGAGTCTCTCTCTCCCTGAGTCTCTCTCTCTCTGAGTCTCTCTCTCCCTGAGTCTCTCTCTCTCTGTGGTGTCTGTATTATCGCTGAGTCTCTCTCTCCCTGAGTTTCTCTCTCCCTGAGTTTCTCTCTCCCTGAGTCTCTCTCTCTCTGTGGTGTCTGTATTATCCCTGAGTCTCTCTCTCCCTGAGTCTCTCTCTCTCTGAGTCTCTCTCTCCCTGAGTCTCTCTCTCTCTGTGGTGTCTGTATTATCCCTGAGTCTCTCTCTCCCTGAGTCTCTCTCTCCCTGAGTCTCTCTCTCCCTGAGTCTCTCTCTCTCTGTGGTGTCTGTATTATCGCTGAGTCTCTCTCTCCCTGAGTTTCTCTCTCCCTGAGTTTCTCTCTCCCTGAGTCTCTCTCTCTCTGTGGTGTCTGTATTATCCCTGAGTCTCTCTCTCCCTGAGTCTCTCTCTCTCTGAGTCTCTCTCTCCCTGAGTCTCTCTCTCTCTGTGGTGTCTGTATTATCGCTGAGTCTCTCTCTCCCTGAGTTTCTCTCTCCCTGAGTTTCTCTCTCCCTGAGTCTCTCTCTCTCTGTGGTGTCTGTATTATCCCTGAGTCTCTCTCTCCCTGAGTCTCTCTCTCTCTGAGTCTCTCTCTCCCTGAGTCTCTCTCTCTCTGTGGTGTCTGTATTATCCCTGAGTCTCTCTCTCCCTGTGTCTCTCTTTCCCTGAGTCTCTCTCTCCCTGAGTCTCTCTCTCCCTGAGTCTCTCTCTCTCTGTGGTGTCTGTATTATCGCTGAGTCTCTCTCTCCCTGAGTTTCTCTCTCCCTGAGTTTCTCTCTCCCTGAGTTTCTCTCTCCCTGAGTCTCTCTCTCTCTCTGTGGTGTCTGTATTATCGCTGAGTCTCTCTCTCCCTGAGTCTCTCTCTCTCTGTGGTGTCTGTATTAATAGGAGGCTCGGCGAGAGGCGGTCGGGTTCTGACTGGGACGGGTTTCTGCAAATGGTTCAACGTCCGAATGGGTTTCGGCTTCATCTCCATGACGACCAGCGAGGGCAGCTCAGTGGAGCCCCCTATGGACGTGTTTGTGCACCAAGTAAGGGTTACCTGACTTTATATGCACTGTGTATCATTAGCTGCCTGTTAGCTTAGCATTAGCATTATTCATGTGTAAACTCTGGTCCATGATCATCTCCTACATGTACGTCTGGTCTTACCATGTGTAAACTCTGGTCCATGATCATCTCCTACATGTACGTCTGGTCTTACCATGTGTAAACTCTGGTCCATGGAGAATGCGATAGTAAAGAGGAATGTTTAGTAAATGTCATTGAAGCAAAGATGTTGAGGCTCTACTCCCCACGGGCTCCGTTAGCAAAGGGGATTGCTAAAGCTAAATGCTAAAGCTACATGTCCAGGCAACGTGTGGAGGAGCTCAGACAGTTTATTGTTATTTGTGTTGTGGAAGTGATTATGTTTTTTATGCCTTGAACTTTGTCGTTAGAACCCAAACGCCGCTGGTTTAGCGTCTGTTGCTGCGTGCGCTGGACGTGTCTTGTTTCTGTCGTTCCGTCCAAAACAAAAGCCGAAGTCCGTCTCTTCCTCTTCCATTAAAGCCTCCAGTTTAACGGCTTCATAAAACTCTTTCAAGGTTTTCAGGGAGGACCACTTCACCGTCTCAGATCAGAGCACACGGTGGGAACGGGTGGGGGTGCTCTCTGGTCTCTCTCTGGTCTCTCTCTGGTCTCTCTCTCTGGTCTCTCTCTGGTCTCTCCCTGGTCTCTCTCTGGTCTCTCTCTCTGGTCTCTCTCTGGTCTCTCTCTCTGGTCTCTCTCTCTGGTCTCTCTCTCTGGTCTCTCTCTGGTCTCTCTCTCTGGTCTCTCTCTCTGGTCTCTCTCTCTGGTCTCTCTCTCTGGTCTCTCTCTCTGGTCTCTCCCTGGTCTCTCTCTGGTCTCTCTCTCTGGTCTCTCTCTGGTCTCTCTCTGGTCTCTCTCTCTGGTCTCTCTCTGGTCTCCCTCTGGTCTCTCTCTCTGGTCTCCCTCTGGTCTCTCTCTCTGGTCTCTCTCTCTGGTCTCTCTCTCTGGTCTCTCTCTGGTCTCTCTCTGGTCTCTCTCTGGTCTCTCTGGTCTCTCTCTGGTCCCTCTCTGGTTTCTCTCTCTGGTCTCTCTCTCTGGTCTCTCTGGTCTCTCTCTCTGGTCTCTCTCTGGTCTCTCTCTGGTCTCTCTCTGGTCTCTCTCTGGTCTCTCTCTGGTCTCTCTCTGGTCTCTCTCTCTGGTCTCTCTGGTCTCTCTCTGGTCTCTCTCTGGTCTCTCTCTCTGGTCTCTCTGGTCTCTCTCTGGTCTCTCTCTGGTCTCTCTCTGGTCTCTCTCTGGTCTCTCTCTGGTCTCTCTCTGGTCTCTCTCTGGTCTCTCTCTGGTCTCTCTCTGGTCTCTCTCTCTGGTCTCTCTGGTCTCTCTCTGGTCTCTCTCTGGATCCATGTCTTTCATACTTTAGCAAAGGCCTCAAGTGCGTCACCAATTGTTCTATATTTTATTTTGTTTATTTATTTATATTTCAAACATGCACAAAATACACCAACAATCCTTCACAAAAACATCTAAAACACGTCCATAG